TCTGTTTATTGAAGGATGTAAACGGGGCCCCAGTCACTAGTATTACAAATACATCTGAAGTTCAGAAGACTGTTGTAACAGATGAGGGGGTAAACGAATTTAAGGTGTCCGAACATAGAGTTTTTCTTCTTGGGGAGAACAGGTGGGAAGAACCTTCGAGGCTTTCTGGAGGTAGCAAAATGACAACAACAAATAGTACTAGCAGAAGTGCTATTACTAAGTGCGTTGCTTGTCGTGGAGAAGGCCGTTTATTATGCATGGGTACAAACATCACTCCTGTTTCTATCATTCCTTTTCTTTTTCTCTTTAATTTGACTTTATGTGCCAACTGCTTGGATAACCAGTTCAATTTTAAATCAAAAATTATATAATTAGAGGTGATTGTATACACTTTAAATTTTAGAATTTTAATTTATTTTGGATAATGATGAAAGTTTATCTTCAAAAAGAATAAACAATGATAAAAGTTGATTTGAAATATGAACATGTAAGTAATGACGTGTGTGAATAGTTAAACTTATGGTGAAATGTGTAATATTGATTAGTGATTTGATGGTTATTTTAAATGGAGTTGAAGAGTCTGATGGAGAAAAAAAAGGTGAAAATGATTGAATAGTTTAAAATTTTTAAGAATTTCCATATCCAATCTCATTTTACATAAAATGAGGTACATTGTTTTCACCGCGATCATATCCAGTCGCTCCTTAAACTATGGACGATGAGGGGGAATAAAAGAATAGAAAAACACAAAATTGGTTAAGGGTTTCCTTAGCCTGAAATGTGATTTATCATTTTATTTGGAAATTAGATAATGGATTCAAATAGACTCGATTGCATGATGCAACTATTTCAGGTTTATGAGGGCTATGGTACTTTTCACATTATGCATTTATGTCTTCTAGCTCTAAAACGTCAATTTATCAGCTAAGTGTTAGCAACGTTTCAACTCCATCTGCATCCATAAACGTTTTAAACATGCGAGGTCTTTTTAAAGACCTTGTTTACTGGCTCCATGGACTTAGTTGGCTTTACTGGCTTTAAACTTAACTTGTGCCTCTTATCAATTTCTCTTTCATTTTCTTTGCTGAGTTTTTTTCCAAAGTTTCCTTTCATCGATTGGAAGTGTTCCTTCTGTCCTTTTGTGCTGATATCTTTGTCGAGTGATTGGACCTAAATACCTCGAGTGCACTTAGGCCTTCAGTTGCATGGATCATTAATATCTATGTTTCACAAGTTAATAATCTAAAAATTTATTTTCGTCTAATATATTTTAGTTTTCCTGCAGAATGTGATGGAACTGGGGAGCCAAACATTGAGGAACAGGTGAGCAATGTTTTTGTGTGGTTTCAATCAAAATTCATGCTTTGCAAATTATTCTTCAGCAAACTTCTATTAGTGATCTTGTCCTCGTGCGTATTATGAACAAGAGCATCTGTAATATAGTTTTATATATCTGGTGAACATTTTAAAGTAGGAATGTTGAGAAATATATGAGAGTTTTGACGTTGGAGAAGTTTCTGACATTCCATATCAGTTTTCTGTATGAACTTTTGACTCACGAAGGTATGTGATGCAGTTTTTGGAGTGGGTGGATGAAGGAGCAAAATGCCCCTACTGTGAAGGTCATGGATACACAACATGCGATATCTGTGGGGGAAACAACCGGTAATGCACAATGTATAAGTATTTGATACACAAGACCATTATTATGGGTGTCATCATATTAGCAGATTTTCATGTAATTTTAGCTCTCATCTTGTAAATTATATGATGTATTGCAATAAACCCGGTTCAACGAGCAGTATATGCTTACAATATAATGCTTCAGATACTGCTGGTGCATAATTAAGACATATAGGGGCGCAATCATTCATCTTATATTTCACCTATTTTCCAGAAGGATGTATATGATAACCGAAATAGTTATCATTGTTCAAATGGATAATTACATAGACTACCCCTGAGGTTTGGTGGAGTATTTGCAGAGGTATCTTTCAGAAGCTTTAAATATTTAGTGGCTGAAATATTTCTCGGGGATTTTTGTAATTAACTCAAGTTCAGGGCCTGAAGGAATTAAATAGAGCAGCCCATGGGACTGCAATTCATTGTACATACCATAAAAGGAAAGATACTTACAGATTTCCTTTTCTGTAAATAACTTGGCATGTCAAACAGGTCGAAACTCAATGCCTTCAACAACGAGCCCTGACTTACTGTGCGGGTTATGGATCTCAATCAGCCATGCCTCGACTGTGCCATAATCTCCACTTTCATTGTGGAAGTTACCCATTTCCATCTCCATCCATCCATCTTTTCTCGTCCGTGCAATTTTTCCAGCTTCTCGTGATTCAAAATGTTCGTTGTGCTGCTTGTGTTTCGACTTATCATTGAGAATTCTTACTACAGTGTCGGATGATCTGAGGCCGTCCATTTTCTCAAGCCAAAACACCAAGTACGCTGCATAATTAGTGTTTTCGGATAGCATTTCAGTTTTGAGTTTGCCTTGAATATGAATCCAACTTGGGGATCTCAGTTTTGCCACCTCCAAAAATCTGCAAATATGATTCATTTTCATTTCCAAACGAACTCTCGCATTCATCATCGAAATATCACATTGGGCCCCTTCCGGTTGTGTTTTACAATTTTGAAACTTTTTTCCCCATTAAAACCCCCATATTGTTGTGAAGTTGGGCAAATTATTCAATAACAGAAGAGAAGGAGGCTTATATGAAAATGTTTTAGTAATAAAAGGAGAAACCTTGATTTGGCGTGTGATGTGAAATCCCAACAACCTTTCCAAGAAATCTGAAGTTCCCTTGCTCCGATCATTATGCATTTCTTTGCGTTTCTTTTGTCCAGAGAAAAACTCTGTGAAGGTTCAAACCAAATCGTGCATTAATTAACCGTACTGGTACAACACATTAGTATATATAAACAAGTACATACATAGTTTTTCAAATAAGAAATATATAAATCTTATTTCAAATTTTAAAGTATACTTTTACTTAAATTGCACAAGTTTGAGTTGAAATAACTTTTTGTTGTGCAGTAGGGTGATCATACCTTTGTAAACACTTTACGTTAACATTTTGATGGAGACGAGATCGCGATAATATTTTTAAATAAATATGATCGTCTTCGTATTTAACGTATTCTATTTTTCGTAGTAGTCTCTTATTTATTATTGGGCTTTTTTTATTATTAGTAGTGTTGGGCTTTATTTTTATGGACTTTTAATTAGGGCAGATATCTGATGTATAAGAATATCGTCTTCTATTTGAGAGGGCAGACTGATTATTATTGAAAATTGAAATTTCTCTGAAAGATTGTTCTTGTTCTTCTCATTCATTCATACGCTCTACATCAGTTGGTATCAACAGACCAGCAACGATCAACGATTTCGCCGAAGAGAAACACCGTAATTGACAACGCCATTGATGAACGGTTCCAATGAGTGGATGAACGTTTTAATGGAATTGATGACAAATTCATGGATATCAACGGGGACCGACGACTTGCGTGACGCTATGTGAACTTTGATGGCTGAGGTACATACGAACCGTGGCGCGGCTGGCCGGGGCGCACACGGAGGGCTTCGCGGTGGTCGTGCCGGTCGGGGATTTGGCGGGGCGCCCCGCCAACGATCGCCATTACCGCCGCCCGGTGGTGATGAATCCGATGACGAGACCCTTTCGAGCGGCAATCTGTTCGGCGAAGCAGACCCAGGTCGCGACATGGGTGATGGACCGCGGCGGCGAAGGGCACGGGACGGATGGCGTGAAGACGACGGGTTTTGCCATGGCGATTTTCGCCGGCGTGACAAGGACCTGGTGCGCGATCGACAGAGGGCCCATGACGAGGGTTTCTTCTGGCGCGACGATGCAGGGTCAAAGGATGAGGAGCGATTCAGTCGCGAGGCGCGCCGGGAGGAGGATGACATGTGGCGGCGTGAGAGGGCTAGGGCGGACGTCGATGACGATTTCCAGCAGGTGCGGGGTTTCGGTGAGCGACATGGCCAGGCTGGGGGTTGGAGGAACTGGCGCGAGGGCATGCGTCCGATAGAAGGGGGCGATGCGTCACGTTGGGAGGCAGGTTTCTGGGTGGACATTCTCGAGTTTCATGGCGGGGTCTAGGCTGATGAATTCTTTGATTGGTGGGCAGCAGTGGAGTCCGTACTCAGATTTAAGGAGGTGCCCGAGGACCGACGTGTTGATCTTGTGGCCACGAGGTTTCGAAGGCGCGCTGCCGCTTGGTGGATGCAACTTACGAGTGTGCCCCATTGTCAAGGGAAAGCACCTATTTCATCTTGGGTTAAGTTCAGGGAATGTGTGGAGCGTGAGTTTTTGTCGTTCAACTATGATAACCTCATTTATCAACAACTTCAGAACTTGAGGCAGGGGTCGCGTTCTGTCGACGAGTATACTGATGAGTTTTATCGTCTTTTGACTCGTGTTGAGCTGCGGGCACTGTTCTAAAAGTCGGCCTAGGCGGCCGCCTAGGCGGCGCCTAGGCGCTAGGCGGTGCCCGGGCGCCTCCGATTTGCAC